AGGATGATAGTGTTGTCAAGAAAAATATCAGACGTGAACAACTGCATTTTACTTGAGTTTTAAATACTTAGTATTTGTATGTGTAAAGAAATTTAATTTGTCATTTCTTAAGATACTTTGACCCTTTGACCCTTAAGAGTGACTAGCATTTAATTTCTCCTTACAATATCACCCCTGAATCACACTTAAAGGTCATGAGAATATAACAAAATGATCACCAATTAAAGAAGCTCTTGATTGTTAAACAAATTTGCTTTGTCAGCTCCTTAATAGATAGATAATGTATGGAGAATATGCATGATGATGTTAGGGTGTAAAACTGTATTTGAAAGGAAGTTGTTTGTTTCTGTTTACTTAAGACTACCTTGAGGCAAATGACACCATGTTGATGGGAATCATGATGAGGTTTAGAACACTAAGTGCGACTAATCAATCACTGGTACAGATGTTAGGGGACACTTCAGATCAGGTGGGTATGAATTCATAGCGATACTGGCAGTTTTTTTGGGGGGGTTGTACATTCAACTGGTTGTTTACCAACTTTCTGGTGCTTTCCTCCTGTTAAGGGACAGACAAGTGGGCCCACTTGTCCTTTTCTCTTGAATTAAAGTGTATATAAGGGACTTAGTTCTTGAGGGGTTTTATTTTAACATGAGACAAAACTAAAGGTGTAAATACAAACTGTGAACATTCTGCAAAGCTATATGTACAAAACTAAACCAATTAACAAATGGTAAACACCACAGCGTACACTATTGAGTTATGGATGCACTTGGGAGGTTTGCTAAGCACTCAAGAAGCTAGAGTCGCTCTCGGCTATCGCCTCGAGCGACTCTTACGCTTCTTTCGTGCTTAGCAACCTCCCGCGTGCATCCATAACTCAATAGTGTACGCTGTGGTGTTTACCATTTGTTAATTGGTTTAGTTTTGTACATATAGCTTTGCAGAATGTTCACAGTTTGTATTTACACCTTTAGTTTTGTCTCATGTTAAAATAAAACCCCTCAAGAACTAAGTCCCTTATATACACTTTAATTCAAGAGAAAAGGACAAGTGGGCCCAGTTGTCTGTCCCTTAACAGGAGGAAAGCACCAGAAAGTTGGTAAACAACCAGTTGAATGTACAACCCCCCCAAAAAAACTGCCAGTATCGCTATGAATTCATACCCACCTGATCTGAAGTGTCCCCTAACATCTGTACCAGTGATTGATTAGTCGCACTTAGTGTTCTAAACCTCATCATGATTCCCATCAACATGGTGTCATTTGCCTCAAGGTAGTCTTAAGTAAACAGAAACAAACAACTTCCTTTCAAATACAGTTTTACACCCTAACATCATGATGCATATTCTCCATACATTATCTATCTATTAAGGAGCTGACAAAGCAAATTTGTTTAACAATCAAGAGCTTCTTTAATTGGTGATCATTTTGTTATATTCTCATGACCTTTAAGTGTGATTCAGGGGTGATATTGTAAGGAGAAATTAAATGCTAGTCACTCTTAAGGGTCAAAGGGTCAAAGTATCTTAAGAAATGACAAATTAAATTTCTTTACACATACAAATACTAAGTATTTAAAACTCAAGTAAAATGCAGTTGTTCACGTCTGATATTTTTCTTGACAACACTATCATCCTGCCAGTTTCCACAAAAGCATCACACATTACCCCATTCAAAGTTTTTTAACAATAATTTTAGCAGATGCATGGCATCAGTAAAGTTTCATGCTATAAACAGCTTAAGGTGTCCTTATTTTACCTCAAAACATTAAAATAAGAAACTGTGGATGTAAAGTACCTTCTGGTAACTGATCAAGGACTTTCATTAGAAATTTTTCATACACTGAGTATTTTGCCAGCTTTTCCATCAGACCTTCTTTTCTGGTGATTAATAAATATAGTGATAAATAAATATGAATACTACTTTTCTCAGATTTTCCCATTTCAAGTCTTAAAAGGAAAGCACCAAAGTTCAGTGCCACCTTTGAAGTAGTTTAAGAAATGACCAACACTTTTTTGGCATTAACCCTTTAAACTGAATTAAACTGACAGTGGTAGCAAAACAGGGTTGTAGCTACGAAATTACACTACCACCTTAAATTTGAAATGGTGTGGCTCAAATCTGGCCTTACCAAGCAATCGTCAGCCAAAACTCCAGCAGGCGATTCCCACTTTTTTAACAAGCAAATTTTACCAGCAGCCAGTGCTTAAGCGATGACCCTGGCAAAGCATTACTTTAACCCTTAAAGTACCAACTGAAGAAAACTTGCTTACTTCATTCAATCACAATGATTACTTTACAACAATGTAACAGTTAATATTGACTAAAAGTAATTTAATCTGAAGAGCTCTTCAAGTCTAGTATAAGGTAAAGTCTGTTTACGAGCCTAGTGGCCCATTAGGCCGGTGCTTAACTCCTGTTTCTGTTGCATGAAGCGACTAGGAGTATTTCTACTCCCCCCTGGATGGGAGCTAGTCCATCGCAGGGTTACCCCCAGCATTAAATTGCCAGTACCCATTTATACACCTGGGTGAAGAGAGGCACTGTGAGAGTAAAGTGTCTTGCCTAAGAACACAACACAATGTCCCGGCCGGGGCTCAAACCCGGACCACTCAATCCAGAGTTGAGCGCACTAACCATGAGGCCACCGCGCCTCCACAAGTCTGGTATGCATACCTTGTTTTCAGCTGCTCTAATTCAGTTGACAAAACATCAAGCTCCCTATTTTTTTGAGTTTTAAGTTTAAACTCTGTTTGATACTTCTGTATTGCTCGCCTTCTTTTAGCATCATTTTCTTCTATAAACTTCTCAAACTTTCCAACTCTTTCACGAATCTACAAGAAATTACAATTCTGTATTAAATCCTTCTTACATTTTTGTTAAAAAAAAAAACAGTAGCTAATCACTAATTGAAGAAGTTTAGATTTGTGGCAGAAAAACTGTATGAAAAGCTAATTTTCAAAATTAAAGCATCAAGCAGTTGTTTCATCTTACAAGTAAACTACAAGTATGAGCAGACCATCCTTTTCAGCAAAGTCAATTGCTCGAGTGTGAAAAAAATTAGGGAAAGAATAAAAGTTGTGGTTTGGATGCTGTGCAGAACTATGCGAGTGAGTTGTGCAACAAGTACGTATCACACTAATCACAATTTTTATTTTTGTCCTAATTTCTTCTGACTCATGCAACAGACTTCACTAAAAAGGAGGGACTGCTTGTAGTTTACTTTGCTAGTAGATTTGAATTTTTTTCTTTCACCTGAGCTTGTTTCTTTTTAAGTGCTTCCTCTTTTGCCTTACATGCAGCCATGCGTTCTGCAAACTGACGCCTTTTGATATCCAAATCTTCTTGAACCTTTTCAACTTCAACCTGTTTCTTGAGTAATAGAGTCGACTGCACTGTGTTGAGGCCTGTGTCAAGCAACTTGCTTGCTGACTACAAATTAGAAAAAAAAGAATATTTAATCAATATTCAAAAATTTGAGGAGTGAAGAAATTGGGGTGAAAAAAGACAAAAAGCAACTAAACTTGAGAGAGAAAAAACAAACAAACAAACAAAACAGTAGAAAGGGTCTTTCATTTTCTGGGGATGTTGAACTGCTGTCCTGGACAAAGTAGTGTTAGTGGTAAGAAGCCTGATCATAGCCCTTCCTTTGCAAGCCTGACTTAGTGTATTGCAAGGTTCTTGCATTTGAGGTCTGTATTGTTTTCTAGTCCAAGACATATTCTCAGAGCTCCCCCTCCCTCCCTGTCTCTTCCACCTTTAAGTTCAAGCAGAGTTTAGATGCTTAAACCATATTGCAAAAAAAAAAACTGTCTGAGAAACATGAAAAAATCCCGGAAAGCTAACTGCCATCGACATATGGTCACGTATCCCATAGGTGGGAGAAGTGGACATTCTCTCCTTGCTTCATGATAAGAAAACCAAGAATGGGCAGATTTTGACCACTCGGCCATTAGTTTCAACCTCAGTTTCAACTACCAAGGCAACATATAGTTTCTATATGCATGCAGTAGGTGCAGAGTTAGAGTCAACCTGGTTCGAGACACCCAGACAGTGTGTACAGGTCACTACCCACATCTTTGACAGAACTGTACTGGCCTTAACATAGATGGTGGCACTGTGCCACTATAATTGAATGGTCAAGATTAATTCACGATAAAAGTGCAAAGCATTGTTCAGCATTGACTTGTGTTCGATCGATGATGATCATCTCGTGTGGATAATTTCGTTTTTAAGCAACAAAAAGTTTTTTATTGTTTAGATGAAGGTAGCCGACGAATGTCCTCTAATCAATAACGCTGCGTGCAGCGAGTACTTCTATCTACATCATGAAATGTTTATATCATCCACTCAGGCTGACACGCTTGCAAGAAGTAACATCGTGACGAGGGAAGTTAATTTTGTACAGACGCTTCGCAACTTTTCCGAATAAATGCCCACGCTTACAGCATGGTGCATGCTACAGTGTAGCACCGAGGAGTGTATGCAATGAGTTTCAGAAAGTGAAAATTACGTTGTGATGAAAAAAAAAAAGTAAAAAGTTGGACATTCAGTTTTAATAAATTTGCGGTAAAACGGGATTAACAATTAAGTTCGAAGTGTTGGTTGCATTTCAACAATTTCATTAGTTCTCTAGTATCTCCATTGCCAACTTGTCTCACCAAAAATTGCTCAAATAACAATGGAAAATTAACTCCTATGGATTCCTACGGAGGTTTGGACAAAGAAATGTTTACCTAAGCAAGAGCTATGATAATCATGAAAGCGCTCATTAAAACCGGAACAAGATGTAGCAATTACATGGGAATAATATAAGATACCTCTTCAACAACGGCAAATTTGCGAATCTCGGCGTCATCTTCCTCGTCGTCTCTGTACGAAGGGAAAACCACAAATCAGATAGATTAGGAGTGCTCGTGCAAGTACTAAATAATTCACAAATTGTGACATACAAAGGTGAATTGACTCTTACCGCAACTGTGTCACAAACACGTTCTTTTTCTGCGGTTCTAGTTCAAGCCTGTATGATCCTTCCGCGGACATGTTTGTCTGTTAAACGTATCCAGCGTCGTCGAAAAGAAAGAAAGGAAATAAAATTTTCTAAACGTTTCAGTTAAAACGTTTGCACAGCTGTACTTCCGATGGCGTTCCACGATGTTGCATTCTACATGTTCGAGAATCCGTTGGTCTGTTGCCATAGCTACACCAATTTCGAGCGACTTAAAAAAAATATCAGTACCGTGTAATGGACTACTGAAAAAGTACCGGAACTTGATAACTCTCTCCGTATGTTGATTTTAATTTTTTTAATATATCGCTTCAGGACTGATATGAAGATGAACACAACATCCTGTTTCCGATGTCAAAATGATAATTATAATAATAACTTTATTTCAGTGTCAAACTTGTAGCTAGCCTGTAATACGCTTACTAATCGGCGACACCATCCTACCTAAAAAGTACAATAATCTTTAGAATTTACAAACTTCTAGCTAGCCTATAATAGACTTACTAATCGGGGACACCATCCTACCTAAAAAGTACGATAATCTTAATTTACAATGATAAAATCTTTAGGCTAAAAGTAATTACATACAATAATAAACAATGATAAGGAACATATCTAGAATTCGAAATATAAACTCCTTATGCTACAGTCAAACTAAGACTTATTTAATAAGATCTTTAATGTTCCTTCGGCTCTGAAATATATATTAGGAAGTGCATGTGGGACAGTTTCCGTTGCAAAAGTCGTTCACCACCAAGTTAGCGAGATCTCTTTTCCTAATATTGGCCATAAAGGCCGTTTATCTGTCTCTCTTGGTCTCTTGTGCTAAGTTTGGATCAGAGTCGTGGTCCAAAGAACGTAGGTGAATGTTTCCCATACCTGACACTGTTGAATCGTGGGATATAGAAATCAGAATTTCTCAAATGGTAATTAGATGGCATTTCGCTGAATAAGTCCAGTATATTCTTAGGGAGCAACTTATGCTTGACCTTGAACATGAATATTGCTATATTTTGAAGACGCTTATTATATAAGGAAGTAAGATTAGCGCGTTTTAATAAGTTGTTATATGAAAAATTCCAATTACAGAAAACCGCCCTGAGACCTCTTTCGTTCACGCGTTCCAGTTTCTTTCTATCCGACGCCTTACAAAAATGCCAGACTAGGCTGCAGTATGTAAGCTGGGGTAAAATCGCTGTCTTGTAGTATCTGAAGCTTGGCTTCGGTAGGGATCAGTTTCCTGAGCCTCATTAAAACACCAATCAGCCTACTTGCTTTTTCACAGATAGTTGAAATATGTTCTGAGAAATGCAGATCCTTGTCTACAGTGACACCTAATAATTTAAGTCCCTCAGTGATGTTAATGAGATGGCCATTTATGTCTCACGTCAACTGAGATGGCTTATGTTTACTTCCGATAATCATGGCTTGATATTTGTTTAAGTTGCCAACCAAATGGTTTTCTTTGTACCATGCCGACATTTGTTCCCCTTCATACTTGATCCTCTCCATAAGGACATTTATGTTACTATGCGCATAATAGAGTTGGTGGTCGTCAGCATACATTGAAAGACTAACTGAACGGTCCCGAGGTAAACGAGATCGTTTTGGTAAATATTCCATAATAACGCTCCAAAATTGGAACCCTGAGACACAGGCAGCCCATACTAATTGGCTTCCAGTCGCTGATCGCAGCTCCTAGTTTGGCCCTTCCTTTACGGTCCGTAAAAAAGGAACGCATTAATGTTAGCGATTCTTTAGAGAAGCGGTGTGCCTGCAATTTAACCAACAATAGAGTTGGATGCATTGTGTCGAAGGCTTAACTCATATCTGTCGATCATACACCTACGGTTTTTCCTATGTCAGTAGCTTGTTTCCAGTCTTCAACTAGCCGAACCAGAGTTGTCTCACAGCTGTACAGCTTACGATAGGCCTACATAAAGGGATCAAAAATCGGTTCCAAGAATTTTGATATTTGTTTACTCAAAAGCTGTTCAAATACCTTGTTGACCACTGTCAGAATAGTAATAGGTCTATAATTACTCTTCTCCAGCCGATCCTCTTTTTTGAACACTGGGATCCACTCTCCCTTCTTCCATGGACTCGGCCAATACTTCTCCAGAATGCATTGATTAAAAATTTCAGGAACTGGGCCTGCCAGCTCCTCTGCCGCTATTTTCAAAACGTTTTGTGGGATCATGTCTAAACCAACGGTTTTGATAGGATTTAAGTTCTTTAAGCTTAGAAGAGTCTCTTGAACTGATATCTTACTGAAGGAAAATAGATTAGAATCCCATCTACTGCTTATAGCACGAACACTTTGGTGTTTGCTGCATTCTTCTGGGGTAAAGTTGCGTGAAATTTCCTGATAAGATACTTTTATTCCTTTAACCAGTCACCAGCCAGGTGTGCCCTTGAGTGCAATAGTTCAAATTAATTTCAACAGACAGCATGCCATAGGTTTCGCCAGAACACTACAAGAAATTTGTTTAGAGAGCAAACATATTTTTAAGCCAAATTTTTTATTTATTTACTTATTTACCTATTTTATAATAGATACAGTCAAACCTTGATTATCTGGACCTCAATCATCCAGAATTCTAGATTATCTAGACTTTTTCTGTGGTTCCAATTTTGTTATGAAAATAACAAAATTGTTTTGAACTCTGTTCTTGAACGTTTTAAAAAGTGTTCATACGAATGGAAAGACAGAACAAAGTTGGCGCTATCTAGGTTATGAAGCTTTGAAGAATGATGGAACTCTCAATGCAAACAGAATGTTTTTCTGACTTACAAACTGACTTTCTTCAACATTTCAGGCTAGTGTAAAAACATTTTCATTTATTTTAATTGTCAATACACACTTTTAAAGGGTTTTTTTTTTTGTTTCTTTCACAATTAAACGTTGCTTTCTTAATTCAATCAGTTTTTGTTCCCCATTAATATTCATATTCTCTATTATCCGAACCTTAGATTATCTGGACTACTTCATCTAGTCCCAACGAATCTGGATAATCAAGGTTCGACTGTAGAATGTTCTGAGCAGCTGATAATCAATAAGAACCTGTTATAAAAAAGAATATTACACTTGGAGTGTCATTTCAGTTATGTCCAAAAAACCCATCCTGAAATTCCTGAATTGCTGAACATGTTCATAGTGTAGGTGTCACAAGATCTTGTGCTGCAGAATCCAAGAAGTCCATGGAAGTCCACAACTATTAGAGTCACAAGAGAGTTCCAAGCTGTTTTTTTTTTCAATCCACTCCATAATAACTGCTTTGACTTCCCATTATTAGTGCAAACCGATTGCCAAAGATCTTTTTCTTTATTGTTGTCTTTAGAGCTACTGGTCCTCATCTTCTTTGAAAGGATCTCTTCTTTTTATTTTTAAAAGCTGATTAAATTCAAGATGAAAAAAAAAATTAACTGGCTAGTAGCATATGAACATCATTGATTTCTGAGTCAAACTCAAGGGAGTTCTTCTTTCAACCAAAAAGCCCCTCTTCACCCAGGAATATAAGTGATCACAATTCATGAACAGCTAGGTAGATCAATTCACTTGGTACAACTTTGGCTTACAATTATCACATTCACCTTTGGTTGCTCTTAAGGCACTTTTACAAAAAAAGATCATATAATTAACCAATTTTTATCACTTTTATGTATCAATCAATTCAATGCTTCAACACCCCCCCCCCTTCCCATGCAAACCCATTCAAATTTCTGCCTACCCAGGTCAAAATTGTATTCAAATGCTCCAACAAATATTGAAAAATTATTTGTGCAATCAACGAATGTTGTAGAATTTAGCAATTTCATGTATTAGTTTTTGGCACTGCTGTTAGGTTTTCCCACATGCAAGCATCATTTTACCACTGGAAAATTTTCTTTCTAGGCCTAGGTTCACAAAAGCAGACTGTTTACTTTTAAACTCCTCCATTTAAAACATGTGCATTGCACTGGAAAGACTTGACACTTATGGTTCAAATTCCCCACCCTAGCCAGGCAAGGGTCAAATGTTCATGGGTTGTGTGGGTAGGGGGGGAGGATGTTGAAGCTTTAAAATTAATTGGCACATTGACAATGACAAAGGAAGGGGGAAGTATAGCAAAAACAATACCATTCTCTATTGAAGTCATAAACTTACAGGACTCTTTGCCATTGCTCTAAGGTATTCCTCAAGTTTTAGTATTGCAGGTCCCTTCTTATACAACTCTTCCTCGGTTGCTGCAACGAAAAATAAAGTAAAATAGATTCTTAGGATGCAAAATTATAGTAATAACATAAAATCTCTTCAAATCAAGGAAACAGCAAGCCCCCCTACTAGCAACCACGAAAACTAATGGAAAAGCTCACAGCCGGTAAGCAACAGAGTTTTTTCTCGGTATAAATTCATCAAGACACTTACAAGTGATACTGGAGACCCTAACCATTAAAAAATTCAGAAAAATCTAAAAATTTTGATTTGACTTTGACAGATCATTTCTAGACTCAGACCAGGGAAGGAAAGAACAGGAAAAACCTTAAAACCACAAACAAAGCTATAATTACGTATGATGCACGATCCTCGCAGTAGAGAGCGCTATTTATGCAATAGCGAAAATCAGGCCTGTACAGGATTTGAACCACTGACCTCTGCGATACTAGTGCGGCGCTCTACCAATTGAGCTAACAATTGTGAGCAATTGTAACAATTGTAACAATTGAGCTAACAATTGTGCATCATATGTATCTACAACCGCAGTTCAAAATATATGAACTTCATATATTCATTGTAACCAAAGCTATAATTATAATTTGCCAGTTTAGTTTTCTTTTGCACTATTGTTATTTTCCATGACAGACAGTAACACTCTACAACTATTTCTGTTGTTCACAGTTTTTTTAGTATAAAGGTAAAATCCTAAAATAAGCTTTTTTGGCAGAATATATCCGTCCACAGGGGCCGATCCAGGATTTAGTCAAGGGGGGTTCGGAGAATTTTTCCCCTACTGAGGGGTCCGAGATTTTGAAAATTAGGTCTTCAGAAACATGATTTCTAGCGTTCCGAGGGAAAATTTTGGGGGCTCCACCGAAACACCCCTGGATCCGCCCCAGGTCGATACCAATAAGCGGTGCCACCCTTCTCCCCCCCCTGCTTGAGGAACATGGGCAGTGCAATAAACGCACCCACAGTATTTACAAGTATAGCCTTTCACCTTTTGGAAAGATTTCCTTGATATTATCTTACGCTATTATAAATAGACCAACAAATTTTTTCATAAGCCTCTAGTCGGGATGACTAAGAGAGAGGATATCAAAGTTTGCCGGTGAAAGCATGCGATCCCTTACGTTTTATTCTCTCTCCTTTGTACCACTTGTAAACCAGGGCAGCTTGAACACAAGACATCATTGCGATCATAGAATAAAGAAGATGGTTATTATATTTATCTGCAAAAAGGCGCCAACGCCACCAAGGATTCATTGCCAGCGTGTTCTTGATCACAGAAATAAGTCAGCTACCGGTCTCTCCAAAAGCAACCGCCGCCATAATTGTTTTTCATGCGTTAACGCTGACCATTCTAAGGCGCAGGAGGACTTTATTTACCAGCTAGTCCCCACTCTGGTCCCTTCATGTGACAATCATATGATAAACTAGTCGTTCCGAGATATTTGGAGAAGTTTTGAAGCTATCGAATATTTTGTCGCTGGGGGATGGAGTAAAACTGAGATATGTCTGATACAGAGGAACCTAAGAAAAAGAAAGCGAGACTTGAGAAAACTGAGGAGAAAGACCAGGTTCGTAGTTTACTAGAAGGCTGGGTAATCTGAGGTGTTCCGCCGAATTCAAGGGGTCTCGAGCGAGGGAATGTGATGGAGGAGCTAACTAGAAAACCATGGATAGGGAAGGGGAAGGTTTCTGGTCTGTGATTTGAGAGACGGTGGACTGTTATTTTTAGAAAATAAATAATATCGAGGTGAGCTGCGAGTAAAAATTAGAGATTCTGAAAATTTTAAGACGTCGACAGGATTCAAACCCAACCCCCCCCCTCCGCCAGACAGTTTTCTGCATTTGATTGGAGTTCACCTGCCAGGAACATATAACTACTTCTGCATCACCTACAGGTCAAAATTTGATTTATTTCATTTGAATGTGATCAGATTTTTTGAGGCAATGAAGACCCCATTTGAACGTGCATCTCTCCAACGTGTGCCTTCTTAGCTCAGGCATGGGTTTTCTTTTCAAAGCTTTCGTTTTTCAGGCTTCTTTACCACATCAACTATTTATTTGAAGGTCAACAGTGAGGATCGTTTCTCGAGTTAAATATTGGTTAGCCTTCATGCAGATGTTAATTATCTGTCCAGGAATGGATATACCTGCAGGCTCAGACCATAGAGATCCCGGCTCTCTAATCCTCATCCATATAAAAATCATTTTCTTTGTTGTGATTTCTGTAGTTGTGGCTGCACCTACCAGGATCATTTCTTCACTTTTTATGGTGCATATAGCTCTTCAGACTGCATGGCAAGCAGAGGCAGATCCAGGAATTTTTTATTGGGGGGGGTCCAAACTTTGGTTCAGAAAGGACTGTTGGACTCTTTTGAGGCAAATTACTTCTCTCCCACACCCCACACACCCCCTCCCACCAGTCGCCGTTGCAGGTTATATAATTCCTTGGCCGCTTACGTTTTACTTGGATTCATTAAAAAAATCAGCCAGTTAAAAAGTGATATACGACCCTGTCTCAAAGTTGTAAGTGTCCCCCTAGACCCTCCCTCTGGATCTGCCACTGGCAAGACAGCACCTGTTCAGAGGGTTAGGAAGGGGGAAAAGAGGGGGGACACAGGACCTGACCAAAACAGCATTTTTATCCGAGTTTTCTTTTTCAGGAATATGTACAGAAAACATTACTAGAGCAGCTAAATCAGTTACAAAAGGTTCTGACAACCATTTTAGCTGAAGCTCGGCAAAATGCTGAAGAATGCATAGAGGAGTTTGTTTCAGACAAAGTGCGTAAAATGGGGACCATGATTGGGCATTACTTTAATGCATTCCAAACACTGAATGTTATGTCAAGGAGAGATATAGATGAAGAAGTTGCCAAGGTCTGTCATGATCAATCTATTCAAGTTGCAGCTGAGGACCTCTTTCAAGCAGAGGATGAATGGAACTCTTTCCTAGAAGAAACAGATGCAAAGATGAATCCTTTATGTAAAGACAACACAAAAGATTTAAAAGAAGGCTCACATGGCCCTTGTGATCTGAAAGTTATTGATGTACAAACAGAAAGGTTGGTAAAATAATCAAATTGATATGATGTATGCCTGTTGTAATATAAATATTTTCATTGTGTACTTGGCAGACCACCAGCATTTTCATAGAAGACCTGCAAAATTTTCCATAGGCATCAAACATTTTCTGAAGATGTTCCAAATATTTATAACATGTCCTAAAGATTTGACACAAACATGTAAAGTGCTTATATGCCCTCCACCAAATTTAAGGTTCCAACTGATTAAGGATTATGGGTTTTGACTTTTTTTCTCTTTTATCAATTGGCTCAAGTTCATTAAATGCTAAACAATTAAAAAGATGGGTCAGCTATGCTGTGATGGCTTAAATTTCTCAGGTGGATGTGAGAAATTGATTGGCACACGTGAGTCGCCAGTGTCAGAGTTTTCTATCCACAAGTGTAAAGGTTGGCCAGTATTTATAAATACCTAATCAGTCTCCTCATTCAAAGGTCTTATTTAGAGGGGTGTGCAAAATTTGTAACTGATTTTAAGTGGAATTATTAAAGTAAGGGCAGCATGGTAGAGTAACTATATTTTGATATGTTTATTAATTAAAATAGGTACATTTGAGTTTTAATAAATTCTGAAATTGCTATTTTAGTCCAACAGTGTAGTACATTCTGGATATGTTAGAAAAACAAACTTTTTTGATATGTTTGCTGACCTTATTAAGCTAGGTGAAAATGATTGCATTACTTTTCTTCCTATTGTTAGGAAAGTCTCCATTCAAGATTTGCTAACATCCACATCTACAATTTTTATACTTTTGCGCCACTTTGCATGACTGCCATGACGTGACCATGTGGCCCAAGTTGAGTCACAAAAGACAAAATTTGAGGCCCTGAATGGAGAAGTTGTAATCATTAGCTTTGGAAATGTGGTGAGTACATGGAAATCTTGAGTTAGTATCTTCTTAGTTCTGCAGTTATCTGTAATAATCAGCCCACTAAGTGGATTGGGTTGTATTTTGGCTGGGGTTTTTTCCAAGTCTGGGTTTTTTATCTCTTTTTTTGTTTTGATAATAAATACAAATCATATTTCATAATTGTGGCCTCGAAAGGAGTAACCAATGAAGGGCAGAAAGTAGCGTTGCTGTTCCATTCAGGAGGTATTGAGTTACAAGAAATTTATTCCACTTTGGTGTATGAAGATCAAGATATTTCATTTAACGATTGCTTTGCAGTCCTGGATAACTATTTTACACCAAAAGTTAATATTCCATTTGAGCAATATGTTTTCCGCCAAATGCAACAGATTGAAGAGGAAACTATCGATCAATTTGTGTGCCGTCTACGCCAGAAGGCTATATCCTGTGAGTTTCCAAGCATGGATGAAGCCATCTGTGATCAGATCATCGAAAAATGCAGAGATCCAAAACTTCATCAAAAATTTCTCGAGAAATCAAGTGAAGCAACCTTGACTGTGCTGCGAGAAACTGCAAGAGTCTATGAAGCTGTTAACACTCAAATGCAGTCTATCGAAAGACCTGAGCAGGTGAACAAACTGTCTCTGAATGATCGACAAGCAAAGAAAAAGGGGA